CTACCACTGTTGGTGAAACATATGGAATTGAATAAAGAACTAATTTGGATAAAAAGAGATAAGAATAAATGGTCAGACCTTATGACAAGAATAGGATTACAAGAAAAACAAAAGATAGAAAACAAACAAATTGAAAGAATCATTAATAAAGAAAAACTTGAATTAAGTCAAGTAGAAGGAAAGAAAATTATTAAACAAAATAATAGGATGAATAATCAAACAAGAAAAAATAAGAAACGAAAGAAAGAAGATAACCAGATGAATAATCAGCCATCAAAGAAAAAGAAAAAGATTACTAATCCAAAAAAGAAAGAATAACTATAAAAATAGTAGTAGGAGTTGACTAGAGATGGAATGTTAAATTCTTATGAATAAAACAATAAAAGAAAAAGAACAAACCAAAAGAGAAATAATAAGAATCACCAGATCAAAAAGAATCAATAACAGTCTATTGTATAAAAAATTAAAAAAATGAACCCAATCAACCAATTAACTCCAGAAGAAAGACAAGCAAAAAAAGAAGAACTGAGAAGAAACCTAGACCTTCAAAAAGAGTTATTAAAGGAAATTGAGGAGGAAGATCTACAAAAAGAAAAAGAAGAAAAGAAAACTCTAATAGCAGAAAAAGAAACTGAATTGAAGAACATAAATCAACAGATCATAAATCTGAGGATTACCAGGGAAAACCTAGCAAAAGAAATTGAGAATTTAAAAATTGAAATCGGAGAAAAAACTATTAGTGGAAAAATTATTGAAGAAATACTTAAAGAAGAAGCAAGAGCAGAAAACTCTCAGAAAAGAAATATCTCACCAGGGGATAAATGGAGTCAAGAATGGGGAAGAAAGAATAATTTTGAAGAAAATTACTATAAAAGAAACAAGAATGAAGAATTTAATAAAGAGCGATTAGGAAAAAGAGAAGAAAGAGTTGGAAACTTCAGATGTAGTAACTGTGAAGAAACAACCCACCTGTTTAAAAATTGTCCAGAAATAGAATGTGGAAACTGTCGAAGAAAAGGACATATAAAGAAATTCTGTCCAGGGTATTACCCAGAAGAAAATAAACAAGAATACAATACTAAAGAGATTTTAGTAGCAAGAAAGGAAGCCGAACAAAACCACGAAACAAAGTTATCAACAATTACCAAAAAAGATTGACTAGAAGAAACAGAATGGCACTATCAAGAAAAAAGAATAAAAAGAAAAATAGAAAAAATTGAAATCGAACTACCAAATGAAATTATCAAAGAAATATTTCTGCAAATAATAGAATCTATAAGGAACAAAAAAGAAACTCTAGAGAAATATAAAAATAAAAGAATACTGGACCTGTGAAGAATCTTGAAAGGATGGACAGGGTTCTTTACAAAAGAATCTTTTCAAGAAATATTCATGGCTAGGATCTGTAAACCAAGAAATAAATTTAAAAAGAAACAACCATGTATATGTGGAGTAGATGCTTTCGGACACTTAAAAGAAACATGCAAGAATTGCATAGAAAAAATGAAATACATGGCCGAAAAAGAAGAAATTTTGAAGAAAGCATTTGGAAAGGAATTCCTTGATAATTGTGATTGTGAATTTTGTAAAGAAAGAAGGAATTTTGAAAAAAGAAAAGAAGACCCTAAAAATAAAAAGGCAGAAATGTATGGGAAAATATTTAACCAAATAGAACAAAAACAAACAGGATACTATCAGTGGACAAGAAAAGATATTATAGAAAATATACAATATCACAAAACTACCAATACCCATAAAAAGGGATGTAAGACATGTCACACATTAAAAGAAAGATTAGATGAAATACGAAAATTGGAAAATAATAGATATCTTCAGGATTATTAATCAATAAGAAAAGATGAATAATCAGAAAAAACTTATAAAAAGAGAAAGAAAACTCCAGGAAGAATAAAACATTATAAAATGACTCAAGAAAAAAGGAAAAAAAACTCTATTGACCAAGAAGATCGAAAAATAAAAAGAAAAAAACAAGTTCTAAATGCACAAAAAGCTTATAAACGAAGAAAAGAAGAATATACAGAAAAAATGGAAGAATTAAATAAAAAATATGAAGAAAAAATCAAAGAGTTGGAAGAAATAAAAGAACAAATACTGAAGTTTAAAAATCTGGAAGAATGAATAATAAAATTAGAAGAAAAAATTGACGAAAAAACAATCATGAGAAAAGAAAAGACATATACTCAAAAAAAAGTAGACAAAATGATAACCAATGTATGAAGAAAAAAGAATTAGGAATGATATTTAACTATTGGCAGAAGAAAGCCACTGAACAGAAAAAAGAGAAAGAAAGAAAGGAACAGGAAGAACTTAACGAACTTTTTAAAATATTCGAAGGAAATAATCAATGGAGGGATACTTTGATAACATATAATGAAATACCAGACAGAGAAAAGATCTATGAAATGCAGGATTATGAAATTCAAGATAAAGAATTCCTTGGATATTTAGAATAGATTGATAATCTTTTAAGAAAACTTGGTGATGGATAATAATCAGAAGAACAACTAAAAGATCAAAAAGAATCTATGGTTGAAGAAAATTTTATTAAAAATCAATAAGAATTAATAAAAGACTAATAATCATTTAGAAAAGATTAATAATATGAATGTTTTTATTTTATTATAAATAGAGGAGTTTTCCTCTTGACTTTCAACCTCATGTTGAATTTTAAATAGTTGCATTTATTATTATTATTTGTACATTAAATAACCAATCATTTAATAAAGAATAAACCATTTATCTTTAACAAAAAATAATTCCAATATTTTACATGATATTTGTTTTAATTGTTGAATTACATATTAAATCGAGTTTTTGTATGAATAATGATCACTGATGTTAGCCAATTATTTTAAAATTCAACATCCAAATATAATATTGTTCGAAGGAACATACCCTTAGAACCGCTATTATATCACAAAAAGTTATCAAGGAAATAATAGTTAAGGCCGTAATTGCGAATACCCTTAATCTAGAAAAACCTTTGAAAAGCTATTGTGCCAGAGTCTTCGAACTCTGATGAGAATTATGTTTTTAAAAATAAGATTGATTACACTAAAGTAGTAATCATGATAAGAATCAAATAAATTCGAAATAAATCTTCTAAATTATTAAAAATAGACAAGGTTAACCATTTTAGGTTTAACAGTTCTTAAAATAATTAGGAGTTGTACATAAATAATCAAAGAAGTTAATCTTATGAACGCCCTTAGAAAATATTTAAGTTACACCTTGAATCTGATAACACCATCTTGACTTATACATGTTAATTATTAATACCTCTGATAATGTCAATGACCTATTATTAGATCAGGATGAGATAGAATGATAAGCAAACTGGAAGCTTTATCAAGTATATCAGAAAGACTTATGAAATCAATGAACCAACTGGATCGGAAGAAATTGAAAGTAATAAGCTCCCTAATCTTACTAGTGATTGTCATAGCGAAAAGCAATCTTGGCATGACCAACGGTAACATTGTTCTTCGAGGGATAATATATTTATTTAATATAATATCGAAGGAAAATAAAAGCAAAATCTGAGATGATTTGCACATCATGTCACATCAATTGATTTTCTATGTTAATAAAGAGATGAATTAAAACATTTAAAGAGGGCAGTATATCGAATTTATTGTTATTTGTTTTACTACAAAAATATAACTTTTTTCTCAACATTAAATCAGAAAGATGATTGGAAGTTTTTGTAGTAAGATTAGTAAGATTGATATGTGACTGATCATCAGAAAAAATTTTCATGCTGTTTACTATGGTGCGTGAAGTCTGTAACCACCATTTACTGCGCCACGACGCCAAATTTCACCAAACTCAAAGTGATTCAATTTGATTTATTATCAATTTTAATTATCGATAACATTGCTTGAATTTTTCTGAGATTTGTATCCCTTTACTGTAAATAAAGCTTCTAGACCTGTCAATCCATTTCTATAAACATCCATAAATCTACAAGACCTGTGAGCAAACTTTCAATTTTTTTTTGAGAGAAGCAGAATTCAATGCCAATGGAACAAGTTTTATCACAGGTATATTATTTAGCTGCATCCAAATAATTCAATAAAATTAAGTTCACAGTGGAACTTGGGTAAAAATGACTTTATGACCATAAGATTCAATAGTTTCATCAATTATTTGATTTTTTACAGCTACACAATACCAAATTTAGAAACGATACTCGTATGCTATCCTAAATTTAGACAAATGTGTTATATACTAAAAAGAAATAGAACTCAATAACCAATCAATATTTTGACAAAACCTGTTTGAGTCTCAATCTATGCAATAATAGAGTGATTTTTTAAAAGGATTGACAGAAATGGACTTCTATTATTTCAAAAATCACATGCAAAAATGGTGGTTAAAAAGAACCTTTTAACAAGACATCAAATTTTTTATCACGATATGATTGGATAGGTTCTGAAAAAGGATTTTGCAATAGTAAACATCTCACAAAAATTAGTTTTTGGAATACTTATGTATGAGGCTAACAACCTAGAGCGTTACGTAATTTTTTTTATCAACAGTGTCATAGTGAAATTCGTGTTAGCATGATGTACATTCAAAATGTTTTATGCGTGTAACGTAATTTTAAGTAAAAAAACCTTATATATAGCTAAATTAAAGGATATTCTGATTATGTAACATGTGTTAAAACTTTGCAGGGACATTCTTTAACACTTCTTTAAAACTCTTGTTCCATCCATTGCATCCGCGAATTTGACATATTTTACTTAGTACTAGCATTTCCAATATGGTATTACGTGGCAGATGTGTAGTTTGCAAATTAGAGTAGGTTCTAAATTATGGAAACATTACAGAAAGTAAAAATAAAGCAGAAGCCTGGAGGTGAGTGGATGAACTTGTTATCTTTTAAACCATTTTCAAGGTATAATAGTGAAAAATGCCAAATATGCATTTTGTAAAGAAACTAAAACTGAAAATTTTAAAACAATAGAGGAAACTACTAAAAGAAAAGCCGAAGAAGGAGGATGCAACAAGGTAGTCATTCTATAATTATTGATTAAACCAATAGTTTTGTACAATATATTTATTTATATATCTATTTCTTATTATTAGATAAATAAATGATGGATAGTAGAAAGTTGTTTCTATAATTATTGTTAAATTAATAAATTTGTATAATATATTTATATCTAATTCATAGATAATAGAAACAAGGTAGTTGTTCTATAATTATTGTTAAATTTGTATATATAATATATATCTATTTCATAAGTAATAGTTGTTCTCTAATTTAATAAATTTGTTAAATTTGTATATTTATTTCGTAAATAATAGGCTAGTTTGTTCTTAATTATTGTTAAATTAATGGTTTTGTATTATTAAATAAAATTTGCTTCCGATATCTACTTGATAAAACTTGCACGCCGCGAAGCCTCTTCTCAATACTAAAGATTTTATGTAATCTATTCGGGCCAATCAAATATTTCTTTTTGTGTAATCTGTTCGAATAACGAAGAACAAAAAAATTACAATTAACACTAAATCTAGGCGAGTTTTGTATTGACAATTAGATTTTATTGTTATTATTATTTTTGTGACCATTCCGTTGATTGGACATAGTTGATGACCATCTTAAGAGTAAAACTATAATTCATTGATTTAATTGAAGGTTTTGCTATAGCAGACATCCACTTAATTTTTTTAAAAAACATTCACATGCAGTCAATTATATGTAACTCGCATTTTCTCATACATTTAGAAATCTTAAAACTCTTTTTGGACAAAACCTGTTGCCACAGCATTATTATAAATGAAACTACCGACGCTTGTCAAAGAAGTGTAATTAGTACTCTTTTTATATACTGTAAAAATATTCACACGTATAAAAAATATCTTTTTCTCATGGATTCTGCTACATATACGAAAAGTGTTATCATGAATTTTAAATTTGATATATATGTGAAAATCGAAATTGAAATCTCTAATTAGAATTTTGGCTAATTTGAATTTCATGTATATAAATAATTTTTAATATAGATCAGTTACAGTTTCATGGAGTTAATCGCAAAAAAATCCCCTTTCTTGTAAAACATGATGGAATTCTTGGTTTTATTATACAAAGGATCGCCTTATGTATTTTTTTCAAGTCGAACATGAACTTGGCGAAACAGAAATTATTATGTCTCTCCTTTCACTTCACTTAGATTTATCTTTCAATTGTAATTTGACGCTCGAGGGGTTTTTTGGTATATATAAAATTCTCAAAAAGTAAAAAGAATTTATAGTGACCTTTTGTTTTTTTAGATTCCATATAAAATGTTGGAAAATTAATTTTTGGAATTTATTAATCTTTATTAAATTATACACACAGTATATACTAGGATAAATATATCTTTATATGTGTTGTGGGATTCTATTTTAAGAGAAAAACTTACCCTGGTTATTTATGGAAATTATGAATTCAATAACCGGTGAACAATTTTTATATGTACAAAGGAAATTCTTTTTAATTGTACCGTGTGAAAGAGGATTCTCAAAGCAGAATCTACTGAAAAAAAAATTGGGAACAAAGAAATACGTATCTTTTTTATTATTATTATTATGCAAATAAATCCGGATTGAATCCGGTCACTATAAACCAGAAAAACCGGTTCTTAAGCTATTACTACTATTTTCGTGCCTGTAAAGAAACGATCGGCAATTATTTTCATAGACGAAGTTTTTATATAAACAACACTGGTCATAATAATTCCGTGATACTACTTTATCCATCATTAACACTTAAAAACAAAATGAATGAGGTGTTTATCTAAAAAAATTATAATAAAGACAGACCTGTCTATAATCACATCATGACTAGACTGTTTTTGTTCTTTTCGACAAAATACGGTTTAAATCATACTTTCAGACGTGTGATTATAGAAAGGCCCGATTGTACATCTTATTATATAAAATTACATTTTTACTTACGTGTCTTGTTTTGTTTAGGGCAGCTATATGGATATTAAAAGAAGGGTCATTCGTGAAATGCGTCTCGCCGAGTTAGAAACCATCCGATGGGATCAAAAGGAAAATTTTACTGCATATATAACAAGATTTCGTGATCTTGTTAATGCTTCTGAGATGGTTGATGCTCCTGAACTAGATAAAATAGAATTGTTTTTGCAAACTCTCCCACTCGACCTCATCAAAATTATTCGAAAACAAATCACCGATCAAAAAATCCTCGATCCAAACTTCAAACCTACTTTGAAGCAAATAATGGAAGTTGCCGCAAACAACGCCGACGAAATCGGCAATAAATCTTTTTCAAAATTAATCTGGTTGTTATGCGATAAATTGTGGTAAAATTTTTTAACAATGGTTAAATGTTTGCAAAATATGCCAATTTGATCCTTAACCAAATAGAGCATTTTACAAATATTTACTGCATGTTTAATCTAGGTCAAATTTGATTTTTTTATCTGTGAAATCCATCCGCAATCCCAAGAATTCTGCCGTATGCATCGCCACCTTAGGGCTGTTAATCATTTTTCTAGTACGTTGGTTTTCGGATGCTTTCGAGCCAAGCATTTTCAGCAAATTTGTGGATTCGACTGATACTATATTCAAAGACATCAATGCAGTTAATCTTCCAGGTAGATATTCTTCATGCATTCATAACGTGCGTCAATCATAAATAAAATTTTACTTATTTTTTTATATAGGATCAAACGAAGTCATGAAACACACTGTGGCGTGTAGGCGAGCTGCAAATATGGTTGAAAGAGATCCAGCTTTCAAAAACAGTGGCCACGTAATTGCCAGTAAACTTCGACAATTCGGAGAGAAAGTTAGTGAAGCAGGGAATGACCTACAGATAATGTATCGCAAAGGATCCTTCGTCTTTGAAACTTTTAAAATTGAAATTGAAGCTATGATGGACAGACTCGATACTCAGGATCGCAATAAAGGCGAATTCTTTAGGGAAAGAATCAAAAAAATGATTTTGACAGTCCAAGATTTTAGTAAAAAAGTTAAGATAGCAAAGGATTCTATGTTGAATGCAGAAAATCATCGTGATGGTCTTGAGAAGGATATTCTTACCGGAATTAGGGAGGCAGAAAAGTTTATAAACACTGGATCTAATTCAGTCGATTTGAGGAAAGCCAAAGATGGACTTGGTGCAATTAATGACATCCTGTACCATCTTCATAATACGGCTGTTCATTTGGATGAAGTAATTAAGAAATTAAGAAATTATGAAAATAAATTAACTGATGTACAGGCTGAATTGTCTGATATTTTTGTTGTTACTAAAAGCGATTTTAAATTTTTATTAGTTGCTGTGCAAGCTTTGCAGCGTAGCCATCATAAATTTATGGCAAAAGAAGATAGTTAAAGAAATATCATAGAATATCAAATTTTAAGATTGTAACATAGTTATTTTTTTTAATAAAATTTTTTATTATAACAAAAAAGTTCTGCTTAACGATAAGATGAGAACCCAAATATTCACCATTGACTGTATTTTGTGTTAATGGAGACATATATTGTAAGAGCAACTCCCAACTTTTTTCTATAAGCATTTATGTAGTTCATTTGGATAAAATTTATGAATCAGGAAAACAATAAAAATTTTCTATATTATATGCTAATTGTTCATATTTTACACTTCTGAAAGAAAGCGTTTGGACGCACTTTTTTAATAATTGTACAAAATTTTGTATAACAAACCCCCGATTTTTTTTAATCAGTTTGTAGTCTAGGTTCTTGCGAATATACAAACTTACATGATTCTAACTTGCATGTAAAATCAAAACAATCGATCAAATTTCAATTCAATATCTTTAGGCCATAATTTACTTGAAATGCATGCTTCTATTCTTCTCAGTATGTTTTCAATTAAATTAAAATATCTTTCTTGATAAATTTTCGACCATTACTCTTTCAAAGTAGACTCCAAATCCATTGCATTTTAGGATGACTAATTCTTTTTTCAGTCGCCTTTCAAAGATGCTCAATTGATTAAAATCTGGTGATTTAGAAGGTCTAAAATATTTGCTCGTGTAATTCAGACAACTCTTCGTTTTTTGTCCTAACAATTTATAACAGTTTGTTTATTTTTAATTGCTTATTCTTTTTAAACGTGGTAGAATTACAAGAATTTACATGTTAATAAACTTTGAGGAAATAAAAAATGATTGAATTTTGTTTTTGGAAAAAAAAAACCAATTGTCTAAATTAAATGCCCGGTTTTACGCATTCATTGTATGTTTAACCTACACAATTGTCAAATATTCTGTCAAAAATTTTATATATACATGTAAATTTTTTTTGCGATAACAACAGTTTATTTTAATCTATAATATCAGAATAAAAGATTATAATCATTCATCTATAAACAAACCTAGATGATAATGATTTTATACCACACCATTATCATTGTTTTCGTTAATGTTAATATTATTGATGTTAATCATGTGCTGAAATGAATCTTTGAAAAAAATTCAGTCATATTAATAATATACTAATACGGGTTGGCGGATAGTAATAGCTTTTTAATATTAAAGACTGACGAATTACAGATCAAAATTTTAGAGATTATAGATAAAAATCTTAATATTTAAATTTATTATTATTTTGAATTCAACATTCTTTGCGCCTCATTTTTGAAATGCCCAAAAACAGTCAAATGAGAACGACTTGCGTACTAAGTGAAAGGTTTCCTCGTAAGAAATTGCAATAGATATTCATAGTTTTCGCATTCGAAATAAATTTATTGCTCAAACGCGCTGCGGTTTGTGGTTTTCGAATTTAAATATGTTTTAAAATAGTTTTGCCATTCGTATTTGGGCTTTCAAGTGAAAGTTAAAATCTTCAGACTTTTAAAAATTGTTCTCCTTCGACCTTTCTTTAACTTCTATGTAGAGTACTAAGTTTCTCTGATAAATTTTCTGCTGGCATTCTCTGAATCTAAATAAAGACACAAGGGAGGATTCAAGTAAAGAAAAGAGGATAGGAAGCCAGTTAATGAAATAAAATGAACTAAACCCATCTAGACCAGTCTTCTGCTTATCATTTGGTTTTATTGTTAGGATATATTTTTTTAAGTGGACTGTTAGCATCATCTACATTATCCTTCATCCACCTCACAGTTTCATTTAAAAATCTTGTCTTTCCAATACCACTAGCCCGACTCTTTTTGTAGTCATCCTTTGAATTTGCACATTTTATGTCAAATTTCAAATGCATTCTGTACCAATTCACTGTATAAACTCATCTGTTACTCACGTTCAACATATTTGAATCTATTTCCAACTTCTTGTACAGTAGTAACTGTTGACGTAGTAGATGATTGAAACATATGGTGGAGTTGAATAAGACTTTATTTTCTTTATGATATCTAGGAATAAATTGTTGAGAAAACATAATCTGCAAAGAAAAAAAAATTCATCAAGAAAACTTATCTTTATAATTTTGTTGAACATTGTTATCTTTATGGATCTTCTCATTCTCTGCATAGTAGATGAAAAGCAAGGACAAATAATAAAATCATGGTAAGAATCTGAAAGCATAACAATTTTCGGTGTAAACTAGTTGAATATGTAAATGTTCCCACAAATAGATAAATAAATAAATGGAATGGAATGAATGAAAATTGATTTTTTTATTATCATGCAATTTGTTTATTACCTGTCCCTTCATTAAACTCCTTATTCCACTACACTGCTTCATCCCCACATTTCATCTTGTCTTTTGTCAGCTCCTTTTTCTTTTTCTCTAAATAATCTCTCTCCTCTTCTAAAACTTCACTCTTCACCTTCAAAGTTTTTTTCCTTCCTCTCCTTTTTCTTCACTTATTTTTATTCTCAACTCCCTCAAATCATTCTTCAACTCCTTTAACCTCTTCTCATTCTCTTCCTCCCACTTCTTCAACTCCTTTACTGCCCACATCTAATTTATTATTTGTTTTATTTAATTCTTGTTCAATTTTTTCAATTGTTGCCATTTTATAAGAAAAGAATCTTATTTTGATTTTGATCGTAATTGTTGTTTTGTACATGACTTGGAATTTATTTACAGAAAGAATAAGAAAATTATATTATTATTATACAAATTCGGATGGTGGAATAAAATCGACATCATGAAAGGCATTCATGATGTTAGTATATTTTGAGAACCTGATTTCAAAAATCTTTTTGTTAAATATTCATTTATTGTCTTATTAAACTATTTTTTAGAAAGAAATCATGAAATGGTCAAGTAAACTACTTGACAGATGTCGATTTTGTTATGGAAAAAATTAAAGAGAGATTTCCCATAATAATAAAATTTGTTTATGGAGGGGCCCGTAATGTATTAATTAAAAAATGGAAACGGTTCTATATACTAATTATTGGTTATTTAACCAATTAACAGTTCAAAAAAAGATTTGAAACCAGTTAAATTGCACATCACTGAGATCCAAAATGGGGTAAATTTTGAAATTTTAATTTAATGAAATTTACTAATTGACTGAGAGATAGTTCATTTATAATTACCCGGTGTCCTATCTGGATATTTCCAATGAATACAAACACTACACAAATCTTGCTAATAAATTATTGACTGGCTACCTTTTAATATTAACTAGTGATCGACAATATTCGAATATTCAATGAATATTCTGTACTACATATCGAATTAGGTATGATCATCATAACCCGATGAAATGTTTATTACTATTACTATTACAGAACAAAATCGTAAAATTTTGTTTGACACGTCCAATTGCAAGTATAAGTAGAAATAAATGTCCAAATATTACATCATTATGAATATTTACAGATTTCTGGTTACTTGGGTATGCCTTTTATAATAAAATCTTTTATTTTAAAAGTAAATATGATGAATAGATATTAAAGATTTTTTTTACATTTATTCCTATATACATATGTAAATAATGATTAGAGCAATAAACAACAATGATAATGATTAAATTTATCTCTGACTTTATTATTTATTTATCATAGTGATGTTATTAAATATAAGTTAAAATAAAAGAGAAATTTATATAAACTATTGAATAATTGATAAAGCGTTTGTTAGAATATTTTGTTCATAGATCTTGTCCTTAAAGCTTACTTTGATTATTCACTCCTACACAAACTATTGAATAATTGATAAAACATTCGTTAGTATATTTTGTTCATAGATCTTGTCCTTAAAGCTTACTTTGATTACTCCTACACAAACTATTGAATAATTGATAAAACAGTTGTTAGAATATTTTGTTCATAGATCTTGTCCTTAATGCTTACTTTGATCACTCCTATACAAACTGGATCTTAATCTTTATTATCATCCTCAAAAAATGATGATTCATGCTACTAATTATAATATTATTGATTGATAGATCTTCATATATTACAAATGTAACCAATCAAATCAATTATTATTATTAAATATGATGATCATTTCTAATTTGATATGTAGTACCAAATATTCAAATATAAAAGATCTTTGTACAAATACCAAGTGACAATAACAATAACAACATCAATAAAAAATTTTTTAACATGTCTATTTTCTTTAAAATAAAAGAAAAGGTCAAGAACTGAATGAAATCACCGAGTAAGTTTTATTATTGAAAAGAGTGGTGGTTATTGCCACTTGTCATCACTCTAGTTTATTACTAATTAATTTCTTTCCTTTTTTTTAAAAAAGTTATGATGCATAAACAGCAAACAAAAAGAGAAAAAATAATGCTGGGTGGGAAAGAAGTAAGTCAGTTTAGTTGAGCATTGTCAGAGGGTGATTGCTTAAAGTTATTCTAGTTTTGTAATACTAAGATTTTCTTAATGTTTACCTTTTAAACAAAAAAATAAAGTTGCATAAAAATTGTGTATATAATTAATTTTTATGCAAATGAAGCACCAAAAAGCCAATTTGTTGTGCATACCTTGTGGCTGCTGCCAATCTTTTTGAGGGTAAATTTGAAGCAGGGTTGGCAGATTGACTGGTCCATTGAGAACTGATAGATTTTGAACTGGCCATTGCCATTAATAAAATATTAAATATTTACACTAATGGACCCAATGGACCATCAATTTGCCAACTCTGGTTTGAAGTACACCCAGAAAAGAACATCCCAGGCCCGAATGGACATGGACCATCAATTTTGGACTGGTTCTACTTCAGACTTCTAGGATGTTCAGCATTACAGAAGTTAAAAAGATGGACTTTTTACAAGGAATCGCTCAGAATGCAGTGCAGTGCGAATCAACCTTGTTGAATAATGAATTGTAACCAATTCAGAGAAATGTTTGTTTTTAGCATGTTCATTGAATGGACAAGGTAAACCAACCTTCAAATTATCTAAGCCTAGTGATGTTGGCTGGCTAAGGATTTTTAAACAGTTAGCATCACTATCCAAGCCAGCGATCATTGTATATGGTAATGAGATATGGAAGATAGAGTGAAAAAGGTACTTGGTTACATTGCGTGATTGCTGGAGGAGGCTCAAAAGCCCGAAGAATTTGACGATCATCATCAATTACTACTCTTCTTCCAGTAATTTAGACATGCAATTACGAACCTCTCGTTCATCTCCAAGAAAGAAAGGTAATAATTATATTAATTTTAATTATAGTAACTGTGATTAATTATTTAATGATTTTTATTAAATGTTTATTTTTCATAATTATAGTATCGTCAAAAATTGACACGACTCTATTAGTAGATTAAAAGATGATATTGGTGTTGACGAAAGTAATAATAACAATAATCATGAAGTTACATCAGAAATTAGATTAATAATATTAATGTAAACTATAAATAGATTTTTTTTTTTAAAAATTATTAAAGCGCAAATTCATGATTGCAGTAATGTTTTCATATTAGAATTTTGATCATAATTTCAACATTCATTCATTGTTCATATTAATAATAGAGTATAGTCAATATTTAAACATAATTCGAATAAAATTATATACTACTACTATTATTATTATTTATTATTATAATTAAGTTGTTGTATAATTAATTGTTGTTGGGAAAAATGATTGATTACGTTTATAATTTTGAGTCTACATAATTTGATTTTAGAAATCAAAAATTTTATGCTCCAAACAACTTAAATCCCAAAAAGCACAGTTCATGTTACAAAACTGAAGTGGAAAACAATAAATATGCTCCAAAAAAAAAAAATATGCTGAAGATAACGGTATAGAAGTTTTTTCAACCAGTACAATTCGCAGAAATTTGTACGAGCTTAAGATTTTCTCCAGAGTCGACAGAAAATGTCTTCAAGGACGAATTTCGCTTTACAGATAACTTTTAGAGTGATAGTCCCACGCATAAAAGTAAAACGTGGTTTTTTCCAAAAAGAAATTGGGACTATTATCAAATTGGATTAAGGAAAAAAAAATATTACAATTCTACCAAACTGGCATTTACAATCTCCATATGAAAGGCGGTTAAATAAACGTACATTGTATCCAAAAAATCCCAACAAGTTGGAAGTTTGCTATTTCGTCGTCATAGATATGTTTCTTAATGATCCTCACGTTTTTGTTGACGAAAAGGTCAAAGCATGCATTTCTAGCAAATGGGTGGTCAACTCGATTTATTTTTTAAACTTCGCCGAATTTTGTTGAAATATTTCTAGAAGTTTCGTTTTACATGCAAACTAAGCTAACATAATAATATAGTTTTTACGTGGAAAAAACATTTAATTTTAAATGAAATTTCAATTTCAATTGAACAAAATAATATACAATATATAATTATTGATTCATAACACGATTTATTTATTGTTAATATTAGTGTTAGTGTTAGTCTGATCCGTTGTTTGTTAATGATGAAGCGTACGCTAAAATCCATTTAATATTGGCCAAAGTATACTTGAGTGCTCTAGTCCATTCCTCTGGATTAAATTGTAATCTTATAGAAGCATCATTAATCTTATCTTTGTTAATTCTATTTATATTTATATATAAATATAAGCAGTCTTGTAAATAATATAAATTAATCAATCTCTCATTAAAAAAACAACATGTATAAATTAATTTAGTACCGATATGGTAACTTCAATTTAGAATCTTTACTTTCCACACATTCACCTAATTGTTGTAGACAATTCAAAAATCCTACCATCGCGCTATCAAAACGACGATTTTGAAATAATCTTCCTGTTGCTATATCACCTGTACCATACCTATATTTCAAAATCAAAAATGTGATTATATATATAAATTTACAATAAACATAACTATTAAACATTGACTTACAATTCATAACTCACTATATTATCACCATCAATTTTTTCAACTCGCGAAAAAGAACCCAAAGGAATTAATCTGTAACTGAAGCAAATAAAAAATAAGAAATTGTTAATTAAAAGGTTGGTTTTTCAAAAGATTTATTTGGTATATATGTAAGTGAATATGCATAATATATACTTTTTGAATGTAACATTAAGTTTATTAGCAATTGTTACCAACAATAATAATGTTTGACCCCATGCAGCATTAATTTCATGCCATTCCACCTAAATAAATAGAATATGAAAAACTTAATATTCCAAAATCCTAAAATTCCAAATATTCTAAAAAGAAAATTAATTAATTAAATTACCGTGATATTAGGTAAACGACCAAGTCTAAATCCATTTATTGTCCCAAAGTTTCCATCATGTCCAATACAAAAGGTATCATTATAAACATTAGTTTTATGTAATTTTTCTAATAATTTAGTATCATGATCATATTTTAAATTAATACTATCCCTTTCATTTTGAAAGGTTTGAAATTGATTATGAAAATTATTAAATTCATTCCAATAACTATTAAAAATTAAAAATAATTAAAATGATGATGATGATGATAATAATAATAATAATAATAATAAATAATAAACATCCATAGATATATGTATGTATACCTCTCTTCAAGTTTATCAAGTTTACTTATTTCAGTTTCCAACTTTCCGATTTCTTTTTTCAATATTTCTCCCTCTTTTTCAATATCTTTTAATGTGTTAATTGCTGTCAATTCATTATCTTTAATCTATGCAACATAAAATAATAATTACTTTAATAACAATATATATATATATGGAAGAAGAATATTATGAAAAATATGTGTAATATTTGTAAATTGCCACCAATAACTTACCTTTTGGATTTCTTTTTGGATTTTTTCTGCGTCAGCGTCACCAATAATGCTTTTGTTCGCTTTTTCTAGAAAACCTTTATAAAAATCTCGTTCTTTCGAAGCATCAGTTAATTGTCTATTCAAGTTACCCAATAAAATGTCAACACACTCCTGACAAATTGGATGTGACGGCTCAGATCTTGAATTCATCAGGTCAAAAAGTCGATTAGTAATTTTTAAATGACAACTGATGCTAGCTCGTTGTCTATCATCATTAGTATCCTTATCGGGTAAATGTGAGCGTGGTAACATGACATAAGATTCTGATGGTGTTAAGTAAGATTCTTTCTGACTCGAACTTGAATTTCTTGCCATTTCACGAGATTTACCTGTAGAGGCAGATCGTTTTTTAGCGAGTTGGTAACCACCATTATTCTTGGTTTCATTATTCTTCTTTTTCAAATCGAAATTTGGTTTATCATGATCAAATTCTAGAGCTGAAACTGATTCTTCGGGTAATGATGCTGAATCAAATTGGTTAATAAGTGCTATTTAGTTTTTTGATTTAATAATAAATAAAATGTGTAATGAGAAAAATCTGTAAGCATGCATACATAACAGTATATCTATTGAATATGTGTTGAGGTCTAGCGGAGAGTTGTTAGTTTTTAGGGGTAGTTTGCAGTTTTGACAGGTAAAGTAACTTGTTGAATCCATATTTTCTTGAAAGATTTTGATGTTACGATTATTGAATAAAAAAGGAAATTCCAAATGCACACACAAAAATACATTTTGATCAGACGACCTTTATCTTTAGGGATAGTGAGTGATAGATAACTAATTTGTGTAATTAATGATGTAATTTTAAGTTTGACATATTGAAACTTGAAACAAACATGCAACAATTAATTTATATAAAAAGTGAAAGTAATGAAATCCAATAATTAATTAAATTTGGACATAAAGCAATATTAGAATGAAAAATACATAAAAATCAAAACCTTTTATAATGAAAAAATTTAAAATACATAAGCTTCTCAATTACTCTTCTCAAAAATTAACCTACTATGATCCTTTACCGCTGTATAGATCACATTTATTAAATATCTCTGGTAATGTCGAATGCCATTCTTATCAAAATCTAAAGTGGCATTGAAACCACTACAAGAGGGGACAACTCACTTTTGTAGAAAATAACGCATCACCTTCCCTGAAGCACCATTCAAATTGAAAACCATTCCACAAATCATCGACATCTTCCAAGTATTTTCAACTGTCAAAGAATTTACTTGATTATTCATAATTTATTGCATTGATAATTTCATTGATCTTTGGCTTTGTTCTCCAAGCACATTTGGTATATTATATGCTTGTAATAGTAATCATTTATGTTTGCGGTTCAATTGTTTATGTGAAATGAACAAATGCTAAACAAAACTACAGTAACCAATTTTCATATTGGTTATTTGGTGTGAAATTTAAATTGGCCAATTAAAAATTAGAGGTATTTGGTTAATTTCCTTTTAATTCACATAATACATATAAACGGTCATTTGTTTATATTATCAAGTACTTTAAACAATTGATTGCTGCGTCCAACTTACAAGATAGTCAAACCTCGTCTCAACGAAGTGGTTGGACATGTAAGGAAACTTCATTCTAGTCAAATTTTTATGATGTGTAACAAGATTTTAAAAAAAACGCGAATTTTAATTATAATTCACTGAAACGAGGGTTTGACTGTCTAGATTTAAAAATTAAATCCCTCCAATCGTGTATTTATACTGATCATCATTTCAAATGTGAATATCCAGGATGTGCAAAAGAATTTTGAAAGGGTGATTTGCTAGATCACACAAGACGTTATCTTGGAATAAAAAATTTCAAATGTGAATATCCAGGATGTGCAAAAGCATTTTGTCAAAGTAGTGATTTACTAACACACACAAGACGTCATCTTGGGATAAAAAATCATGGATGTGATGTACTTGGATATGACAAAAGATTTGAACTCAACAAGCATAAATCTAGAAATGGGGCATGCCAGACAAAGTGAACATTGGTATTACCAAGGATTTCAGGGATCAAAATTTAGTCATTTGTAATGTGATCATAATTAACAGTTTTATAATGTCCCATTTGTTAAGTGATATATAGAACTAAAAATAATTAATATGAAACTCACTTATATCACATCTACTATGGAACCCAAGAATTATAGTACTATCAGAAGTATTTTAAAAAAGGAACAAGGTGAGAAAATTGCTCTTTATATTTTCAAAATAAATGACACTTGAAGCTTACCTGAGAAAAGAAAGGATCACCTATGAAATTTACCAAGAAGAAAGAAAAATCATAAACATTAAAAAAGCAGAACGAAAATGTACTACTACCCAACAAAAAGCAAAAATCCTTACTAAAAGAAAACTCTTTATGCAAATGCAATTAAGAATCATCATATTGCGTTGCTTATCAATAAAAAAACGTTGTTGTTTGAACGAATTTTATATTCAAGAATATGTTTTATAATAAATCGTTGTTCTTCTCTCATTGGCATTGAAACATGGTAAATAATCCCGCCTTATATTGGAACATTATAAAAAACGTCACCAATTCGTTTGTTTTTCAGGTAAAAAGATTTTTACTTTCAATAGTGAACTTTTTGCAAGTTGTTGATTGGACTCTTTTGCTCCATTATAAAACTTATAAAAATCAACTCAATAAAATAGAACCAAGAAAAGGCCAATTTAAAAATAATATTTGTTGGTGATAAAAAATATTCACAAGAAAATAGAAAATTATGGAAGGGTTTCAAGCAATTATTTGACAAAAAGACTGAATTGAATCCAGAATTTTCATTTAATGAAATGGCAATTGAAGTTTGTAAATTATTTGAAGAAGGAAAGGGATTCGTTGCTTCCACAATAAAAAATTTTTACCAACAGAAAACAAATCCTAGAAGGAAAACGATAGAAGCAATTGAATCAAATCAAATTTTAGAATGAGTGATTCAATTCAATTCAATTCAATTCAAACTGAATTCCTAAATGTTTTTAATATTATATATTAAATTTAGTGTACCTTGATTTGGAAATTTGATAAAGGATATATCGTTTAGTAATAATGGCCGAAACTATTTTGAAAAAAGATAATTTCACCCAATATTTTTTATAATAACAGAAATAATTCCCAAGTTTATGCCAATTAATTTCGGCAATTTCGGCCACCATCGCTAAATATCAATTAAAAAATTTTAAATTTATAAATTAAAATATACACAATCTTCCAAAAATCCGTTATTATTATTATTATCAAGAAATCCACTATATTGAGAAGAATTTTATTATATTAAACCATTCTCGGACCTTGATCCATTAAATCGAGGTACACTAAATTGAGGTTCACTGTTCAATATAAATTTAATAAAAAAAAAACTAAAGAAATCCAATTTGTTTCGTTTGTGATGACTATTTATTTATAATAATCGTGTTAATGATGATTCTGCTGTACTAATTAGAATATTGACCCTTTCTTAACGCTAATATGTCAAGTAGCGACAATTCTTTTATTTTTTTTGTACACGGTTCCCATAACCATATGATTAAGGCTAAAAAGGATTAACCGGTTAAAAAATATCTTAACCGGTTAACGGTGTCAATCTCTAATTGAGACATCCATGTTTATTAACTGCCTCAATAAAATACCGCATCACTGTTGAAGAAAGATTGTTGTTACTACACTTTAAAATAAGTTATCAATTTTGAATGTTCTACTCTTAACAGTGTATGAAAGTCGACTGCGCCTCTAAACTAAACTAGTCTAATTTAGAGAGTTAATCTCAGATTGGGTTAACACGCATTATATTATTATTATGGTAAATCGAAGTTACATTTTCTTTCTTACGCGCATTTGATTATTTAGACAAAATGGAAAAAACTAAAGTGCCTAAACCCATTAAAAAACTTGATGAAACAGTTATAAATCGAATCGCAGCTGGAGAGGTTTTAATTTAATTATGTATATATATTAAATTGAAACATCTGTTTTGATTATTCATTTGCTTACATATACTTTATAGATTATTCAACGGCCATCAAATGCACTAAAGGAATTGATGGAGAATTCCTTGGATGCTGGTTCTACCAATATACAAATAACAATTAAAGATGGAGGATTTAAACTTCTTCAAATTTTGGATAATGGACATGGGATCAGAGTAAAGAAAAATATTATTTCTTTCGTTCATAAATTTTTTTTTAATTTTTAATATATACATCTTTTCTTATTGAAAAAAAAAGTTGGAGGATATGAAAATTGTTTGTGAAAGATTTACAACGAGCAAACTTAAAAACTTTGAAGATTTATCAAATATCAGTACATTTGGGTTTCGTGGGGAGGCTTTAGCAAGTATAAGTCACGTAGCCCATGTTACAATCACTACTAAAACCTTTGATTCAGATTGTGCTTACAGGTAACACAAAAAATGGGTATATTTGTATTTTGTTTATTATAGATGATTATGATTAAATTGCTTCTTTTTTTTTTTTTAAAAAAAAAAAGAGCATGTTATTCTGATGGTAAACTTGTTTCTTCAAAACCTGGTGCTAACCCAGAACCAAAACCATGTGCTGGTAATATAGGGACCCAGATCACGGTATTATATTTCATTAACAATAAAAGGGAAAAGATAGCCTAATAATATATTTCTAAAAGATCTGAATAATTATTTGTATCAAACCTTAGGTAGAGGATCTCTTTTATAATGTACCTATGCGAAAAAAAGCATTGAAAAATTCCAGTGAAGAATATAATAGAATCTTAGATGTGGTTAATCGATATGCTATTCATAAATCAGGAATTAGTTTTACATGTAGAAAAGTAATTAATAATAATTTTTATATTAATTGCGATTAATTGATATGTTATATGATTCTAATATCTTTCATATAATACAGCAAGGCTCAAATCAGGCTGATTTGAGTACACTTCTTTCATCAACAACTTTAGATAATATACGTCAAATTTATGGTGGCACTGCTTCAGAATTATTAGATATATCAAAAAAATTTCGTAACCTTGAATTTAAAATCAATGGATACATTTCTAATGCAAATTATAATCTTAAAAAGATGGTGTTTTTATTATTCATAAATGGTAAGACTCAAATTGGAAAATTTTAAGTGCCTTTTAATACCACGTATTTTAACAAATGATTTTTATTGAAAAGATAGAGCAGTGGAGAACACTTCACTGAAAAAAATCATTGAAAATGTTTATACGACATTTTTGCCAAAAAATACTCATCCATTTGTGTATCTAAGCTTGAAAATAAATCCTCAAAATGTTGACGTGAATGTTCACCCCACAAAACGTGAGGTTAGTCCATTAAATTTGCCTCCTGTCTTATCACAACATATTTAGTAATTTCCATATGTATTAAAGGTTCGTTTTCTAAACGAAGATGAAGTTATTGCAAGTATTGGAGATGCAATGCAAGAACGTTTAGCAGGCGCCAATAGTTCTCGTGTTTTTCTAACTCAGGTTTATTACTAAAGTTTTTAAAAACTTAAAATATACAATTAAGTTTACAAAAATATTAAATATGATTATCATTATAACAAATCTTAGACTTTATTGCCCGGATCAAAACCTGTTGATATCGATGCAAATGAATCGGAAAACGTATCTAAAGTTAAATCATCAAGAGAAGGTGCGAT